AAATAAAAGAATTAGATTTTAAATAGTAAAAAGAAATTAAAAATAAAATGATATTATTAATTTTTTTTTTAAAAAAAAGATCTTTATTATCTAAAGTTTAAAGCATAATAGAGGACTTTTTAATTACATGTGAAACTATGCAATATTTATCTGTCATTAAGTAAAAATTCCTAAAATTTTAGAATTGGATATAACAATTAATATTATATAATAAATTAATAATAATAAAATTAGTGTTATTTAAATTAGTGTTACAAAATTATTTTTTGAGTTTTTCTCTAATATTAAATGATGTAAATGCTTCAGATACACAACAGTTTCCATTTTCTAGTATATATAATTATTGTTACATTAATTTTGAAATGTTTATATTTGCAAATAAAAGTATATATAGATTATTAATTAATTTTAAGTTATTAAAATAAAAAAAAATAAAATAATTATTTTGAAATTAAAAAAATAAAATAATAATACTAATTCTTTCTAAAGGTTTAGAATTCTAAAAAAAAAAATATTTTTTACAAAATAAGAAAAAAGAAAACTTAATTAAACCATTTTAAATTAAAAATTATATATATTGTCAGGATAAGAGTATCTAAATATTTATTATATCGATCATATTTTATAAATAATACAGTTAATTTTAGCTGATCATTATTTTAAATAGTACTAATAAAGTTAACACAAAATTTTAAGTTTATTTGAATTAGCAAATATTAATTTATTATTTTATTTTATTAATATTTTGTTGAATTATCTTTATTACTTATTATAGCTCTAACTTTTCTTGATACACTATTTACTAATGTTTTAATTTCTTCAATTTAATTTTATATTATTTATCTTTAAAATAGTTATAAATTCTTACTTATTTATTAATAAAGGTTTGTGCATTCTGATCTTTCTTTTTAAAATATTCCAAACATTTTCTATTGGATTTAGATCCAGAATTTAAGCTGACTAAGAAAGCTATTTATTCAAATTTTCTTTCTTCCAATCCTTTACAATTCTTGTCTTATGAACTTAAATGTTATTATTATCCTAAATATGTATTTTTTATTTTCATCTCTTAATCCATTCAAAAAGGATAAAGAATGATCATTAAGTAATTGAAGATACCTGGTACCAGTTATTGATCTTTTAATAAATATTAAAGGCCAATTTTATCATTATAAAAGCAAACTATACTATTACTCTAGGTGATTGTTTTACAGTTAAAATTAAACTATCTTTCCATACCTTTTATCAACCAAATGTCAAACCCATTTAGAAGAATTATTACTGAAAAAAACAAACTAAGATTCATTACTAACTTTCCCACACTTCATTCCAATTTCTTCTTTCATAATACTAAAATAAGTATTTTTTTAATTTACTTCAAATACTAAGGGATTTTTTTTACTGATATGACCATAATAACCTTTTCATGAAGTTTATGCTTAACAGTCTTAGTGGAAGTTGAAATTTGTAAGTTTTTATTAAAAGTTTCAGTCAATTCATCAAGTAAAATTTGCCGGTCTTTTTTAATTCTAGTTAATGCTCTAGTATTCCGTTTAGTTAAAGCATGTGGTCTACTACTTCAAGGTGCAGCTGTTACTAACCTATGTCTTCTGTATTTATGTATAACATCTCAAATAGTAGACTTTTGTTTTAAAAACACTGCTGTAATTTTTCTAACGCTTAAATTTATCTTAGATAGACCAACAATTTCACTACGCTCAGATTCACTAAGTTCTTTGGATTTAGGCATTTTAGCGAAAAAAATAATAAAATATTTTTTTAAAGGGGGCACAAAGGTAACTGAAATTCGTAAAACAGTAAATACTCAAAGTTTGTGCTCTGATCATCAATTTCGAAAGTGTTTGGATACTTTTGTCTAGGCGGCATATATAATTAAAAAAAAAATCTTTTGAACTTTACTTCTAATCTAAAGATTCCACGCGGCTAGAGGTTTAGGATCGGATCTTTTAAAGTAAGTTTTTAAATTTTTAAAAAAAAATAAAAAAATATATATATATATAATTAAAAAATCTTTCAGACTTACCGCTAATTCAAAGATTTTAACGGTTAGAGGTTTCATTTCGGATCTATAAGATAAGTTTTTTTAAATAAAAAAAAAATATAGAATTAAAAAATTCTTTCAGACTTACCTCTAATCCAAAGATTTCACGAGATTAGAGGTTCCGGATTGGGTCTACAAGGTAAGTTTTTGTAATTAAAAAAAATAAAAAAAATGGAATTAAAAAAAATCTTTTGGACTTACCTCTAATCCAAGATTTCACGAGGTTTAGAGGTTCTGGATTGGATTTATAAGGTAAGTTTTTTAAAAAAAATATATATATATATAATTAAAAAAAAAATCAATCAGACTTACCTTTATCACGGTTAGAGGTTCTACAAGGTAAGTTTTTTAAATTAAAAAATAAAAATAAAAATAAAAAAGAATTAAAAAAAAAATAATCTTTCGGACTTACCCTTAATCCACTCATCTTGACATTGTCTTGAAAAAGTGAAATTCTAGTTTTTGAACATTAATTTCATAATGTTCTATTTTTTATTATTTTATTATTTTTTTTTTTTATCTATAGATAAATAAATAAAATTTATTTACAATATTTTGTGAATATCGTTAATAAAAATAATTAAAATATCTAAATTTATATATTAAATATTTGCATATTTAATTATTTCAAAAGTTTTTTTTTACGTCTTATATCTAATAAAGTTTTATTCAAATAATTTCTAAAGTCAAAAGTTAAAATTTCAAACGGCATTGATATGGAAAAAGGCATCAAAGCTAATGTTTGAAATTAAGCAAAATTATTTATTGTATACCTTGATAAAAACAAAATAACGTTTCAAAAGTGCAGGTTTAGATCTTTAAACTTCCGATACTAAAATAACAATAAACTAAATATCTGTTTTGCAATATTAACAATAAGGTTCACATACTTTAAAACAATAAAAATTTAAATGAAAAAAAAACAACTGAACATTTGTTTCGTTCGTTATCTACAGAATAATAAAAAAATATTTACAATCATTAAATAAAATTTCAAAGTAATTTACATAACTATATTCTAAAGATTATAAATATGAGCAAGATATTTGTTTCTATAAAAAATAAAAGAAGTTCGAATGAAGATGAAAAAAAAAATTATTAAATCCAAGAATATATGAAAATTTATGAAAAGACAAAATATTAATTATATACATTAATAACTTAAAATAACAATCATTGCATATGAAACCATATTTTCTACATAATTACAATCAATCATATTAAATGTATTTTTAGATTTTCCAATTGTTAATCTAAATTTAACAAATTCGTTAAATTAAATTTTTATACATTCTACCGGAATCAATCATAAACTAGCCTTGAAAGGGTTTGATAGTAGGTATAATAAAATTAATTGATTATTAATTAGTAGCGGATTTAAAATAATTATGTTGATGCATATAAAATTTAAATCGAGCGATGCGATAGGAATTCTGGTTATCAAAAATTAAGTCAAAATAGTAACTCGGATTATCAAATTACGGGAATTCCTAGAGAAACGGGAAATGATTTCTTGGTATTTATTTTATAATTATGCATTTTAAAAGAAACGTGCTATAATCAAATTTACACTGAATTATTTTAATTTATGAAACTGCTTCTCTTAAAAGAGATCAAATGAATTAACAATTTTGAAAAATAGGATTTTATGTAAAAGTATTGACTGATTGCAGCTAGTTGTACGCTCGAAGGATTTTCGTTTGTATGACGGAAGCAATGGATCATCTCATCGGTAATTCAGAATAGAACAATGATTAGATATTAAAAAGAATAATATATAATATATAATAGACTTAATTGGCAAAATGACAATATAATGACTTATAAATTTGACAAATGAATTCCTGTATTATACAAGTTCAAATCGGCGATCCTTCAAATCGATTAATAAAACTCATCTCTCTAAGAAACATTTAGTAAAGTCTTCAAAATATAATATAATTTAATAGAGGGCATTCACAACAAAGGTGTGTTGTCGGCAACGGAATATATAACCGATATTTCACATACAAACTATACTTCATCTGGTCGAATGATGCAACTTCTAATCGACAAGTTATTATTAGATGGTCGCGCCAAGAAAACTTCAGCCCCCTTCCCCCATCATGAGTTTTTGCTTGAAATACTACCAAAAATGTATCATCGTCAATCAACTACATTTTGGCCCAGGTTTACAACTTTTGACCCGGGAATTAAAAAAACCTGTTCTTTTAAATCTAGTACATTTAAATACATCATTTTAATAAATTTAATAATATCAGAAACTAGTTTTATATGGTTAAAAAGCAAATTCATCTCGACCCTCTTTGAATCATAGCATATTAGGAATGGCACCTTGTCTGTTTTTCTCGATTTTGGTTTTTTTTTTTTTTTTTAAAAAATAAAAAAGGTAAAAATATTCCTACTCGATTTGAATAATGCCAAGCAATACGCGTCACGTTTGGCCCTATTTGTTTGATATTTGAAATATTCTTGGAAATCACGAGTTAATGTTGAGTGAGAGTTACTATATTTATATATAAAATATATAATAAAGTTTTAAGGCGTCTCATCTTTATTTGTTTCTTCGATAAGGAAAAGCTCCCGGAATGATGAACACAAATTTCCAAAACAAGGTACCACAACATCCGTTTTTTTTTCTTGGCAATTGCATTGGATACGACTGCATATAAAAGTGAAAGACTTTCAAACGAATCTTAAATTTTACAAATATTTGTTCAATATTATTTATTACAATACACATACACATTTGGACCCCCTATTTTTTTCTTTTTTTTTTTTAAAAAAAAAAAAATCTTTCTCTTCGATGTTATAAATTAGTTAATTATAATTATTCTTATAGTATTAGATTTTATTTTTTTTTTTAAAAAAAGAAATTTAATCTGGCTTGCATACGTTATTAAGTAAGCCTTATTTTAAAAAAGAAAAAACAATAGAAATGAAAAATTTATCGACGACTTTGTTCATCCTAATAGGATTATGTTTAACGCATACCGTATCATCGGAAACATGCATACAATACTTTAATCCGCTTAACTCGAAGGAAAATAGAGTTTTTGATTGTCTAATGGCATCACCCGCACAAAAGCGACAATTACCAACTCCACCGGCATCGGATAACATGTTTAACGTGCAATTTAATTGTTTGGTTAATGATAAAACATTGTGTAATAAAGTTGAAAACGTATTCGTTACAGCAGGAAGGTTTATAACAGCGACGCTAAATCTAAAAGCAGTAATATCCGTGAATGCGACATTTTTAAATTTTTGTGAAGTTAACATCGCACCAGGAATAGATTGTAATAACCCGAATAAAGTGATCTTGGGAGCGGCAGGGCCAGCGATGGTAATTCCGTATAAAGACGAAACGACCGATAAAGTAAGGTTATACCCACAAGCATTATACAAACAATTGGGGTTACCGTCACATCCACAATTTGGACCAAATGAAATCATGGCAGTATTTAATTCCGCCGCAAATTATTGGTTTGAAGGGGATCCATTGCCTATGCCAGAAAGACAAGCTGATATGTTACTAGTTGTAACTCATGAGTTGATTCATGGGTTAGGGTTTACAACCGCGTGGGATGACTTGTTTGGTATCAATGCATTGACGCCTGTTATTGCTGGAATAACAGATGACGATGCACCGTCAAAAGCTCCGGGGGGAGTCATTCCCAAAGAACCAAACGCACCTGCTGGTTCATCATTACAATTCCTGGAATTAATCTTTGATAAATTTATGATTTTGACAGCAGATGGAATTCAAATGACAACACAAACTGATGAATTAAATAAATTCCAGATTGATGTACAAAATATAAAAAATGAAGAACAGCTGGCTCAGGCATTTATGGCTTCACCACAATATAAGGTCGCTCAAGGCTTGTTTCAAAAAGCCACCACAAGTGGTTCGATGGGTTTTAAAACAACCTCCGGTGATGTTGTTATATTAGAAACTAGTCTATTACCTTTTCAGTCTTCTTCGAGTATTGGACACGTAGATTTCGCGACCTATAAGAATTCTAGTGATTTTTTGATGGTATTTAGATCTCCTACCGCTACTCTTGGTCAAATGATGGCTACGGCCGGTAGCATTGATACCTACGGTCCTATCGGTCCTTTATTGCGAGGGATCTTACAATCGATGGGGTAAATTCAAATTCAAAAGAAAATATATATATATATATATATATATATATATATATTTTTTAATTCAATTTATTCGTGAAATTAACATTTTTGATTTATTGGTTTATTTTTAGGTATGAAATCAAGGATAAATATGTTCCTCCTGTCGAGTTGCCAAGTGCTAAAGTTCCTAGCAACGAACCTTTTGCTATTCAACCTGATGATGTTAATGTAGGCACTAATAATAAAAAAATGTCAAACAACGGCAGGATTAATTCACCCATTGGCATCAATGTATTAATAATAGCCTTAGCTTGTATATTAGTAACGTTGTTCATGTAGCAGTCATTTATCTTTGATAATTTCCAAGATAGAGATTTTTATTATTTTTTTTTTGTATTATTATAATTCGAAATTCAAGCATTTAAAATAAAATTTGAAAAAGATTTAAAAATTTTAAAAGTTAAATGTTACATTAATCTTAAACGTTCCCAAATTATAGCTGGAAAACTCGCAATCTTCTCCAAATAACAACTTGCAGTCATTTAATTTGGCATATTGTCTTAGCACCTCACTACACTCCAGATAACATCCTTGATTCATCCAACACATCGATTCGATCCTAAACTTGGCGTCTCCCAGGAATCGTTTTAAAGTGCTCGTGCTAAACCACCAATCTGGTGTAATTAATCTGAGAGATTTAAATGTTTGAGGAAGCGCTTCCGCGAACGAAAGTAACACTTGTCTCACATCAACGTGATCCTCGGCTTGGTTGGGAGTGTTTGATGTGATGCATAGCTTCTCAAGTGATTGATTCCTTTCAATGATCGATAACAATAAAGGTAACAATTCTTCGGATCTCTCAAGCGTAATATCTAGTTCGATCAAATGTCTACATTCTATGAGCGAATTTAATGTATTTCTTAGAGATTGAGAAGTTTTGAATCCATTAATGACCACGGTATTTAAATTATCCTTGGAGTTTAATACAACGCGAGAAAATATTTCATTTAAATCTACATCATCCTCGATAAATTCTTCTTCGTTAATGATAACACCATTGATGAAATCGTTCATTTGATATTTATAAATAAATGATTTCAAATTATGAAATTTGGCTTTCATTAGAGGCACGAGTAACCTCTCATTGAAGTTACGATTTCCTTTAATTATTATTTCTTCTAAATTTTGACATTCTGATAAAGTCCATAACGGTTGACCTTTATAAAGGTCACAATTCATAATCTTGATGCTTCTTAAAGAATCAGTTTGAGACCGAATGGATTGTAAAAGGGATGTGATGGTGGGGGTGACCCAATTATGAATTTCTAAATTACGTAGGTTTTTTTGTGAATTGATCAACTGAATTGAAGGATCGATGTAACTTTTGATTTTGAGTGGTATTGAATTGGTGATGGGAAGCAATTTTAATGTTTCGATCCTCTTGCAATGTTTTGACAAGAAATCAAGCACTTCACCCTTCCCGGAATATTCCAAAACCTTCAAACCTATAAAACAATCTCGTGATTTCATCAATTCTTCCACGGCCAGACAACTTTCTGGTCGATCAAAGAACGACGCATCCTCCTCTCTGCCAACGCACATATAAAGCTCGAATTCATTTATCATGTTGACTTTATTATAAATTAATTTACACATTTCACGTAAAATAACATTTTGCTTGTCAAGGAATAATTGAAGATCAGATGCGGCTTGGATTTGTAACGTTAACGAACCAATGTACACTTTTGAAGAGAGAAGCTCGGTCATGTTTAATTCTCTTCGAAGGTACTCTCCTATCGCATCACATAATAATGGAATTGATAACTTCCTTAGAAACGAAGGGTAATCAAACACGAACTTTGATTCCTTCTCCTTGGTTCTGACACATTTCTCAAGCTTTAATTGATCATGGGAGGTTTCGGACAAGAATGATAAGTACGTCTTGATTAGAAGAGGTGAATTGGAGAGGTGAAACGGTTGACTCCATAATATTTCCATTAAGCTCGCACACCAATGCCTTGACACTAGGGCACATGAATGTAATGAAGATTTGTCATCCACAATGTGCAAAGTGATTTTTTGTAGGATTTCCGTTGGGACGAAAATTTTATTGCATTTCGAAGTAAATGTCATTTTTTAAATTTTTGGATTATTTTTTTTCTTTTGGGACAATATTTCAAAACGATTATTGAATTCATTGAAAAATTCGAACTCCATATATAAATAAATAAACCTATATTTAAAGATCTTCTTGTGCTAATCATTTATATATTACATGATAAAAAAATGTCGTTTTAATTCGCTCGTCCGTTATTAAAACATGCAGTGGAATGACGGAAGAGTTGATCAATAAGTTATCGTCGGGTCGTGAGATTGCAGGTTTAACCCGATTTGGTATCGTGTGAAAAAAAAAAGAAAAGGCAAGATTTGTTTTGCTTCGTGATGATACAAAAAAGCGATAAAGTAATAGCCATAGTAAGAAAACTAAAAAGGTCATAGTAATTTCCGATCACTTTTACGTGTCAAAATCAATTTCGGGGATCGGGAAAATTTCAGGTTATTTCGGGGATGCTAGGTTTTTTTGTTTTCAGGCTGGTAACCGAAGGTAAAAAAATCATACCCCTTTCATATGCTATCAAAAGGGAAAATATTATGCAATCGGCTTAATACCTTGGATTTCTTTGGTTAGTCCCATTGGAAAACAAAAGATGATTTCATCCCCCTTTCGATGTCCATCACGCGCAGCATAATATTTTTCTTTTCTTCCACGCGTGTAGCGCTTTTTTTTAAAAAAAAGGATCTTTTGCTTTTTTCTCTCATGTATAATTTCTCAAGTGTAACCATGACAAAAATTCGTGTCTGTCAAAGATAAATCATGACCTCATTGGATCGTTCTTCAGCCCTTTTTAGATGTTTCATAGCAAGATGATATGATTTTTCGGCTGACGTTGCTGCGCCATAAACGTTTCTCGTAAATTATTATTGTGTAATTAATTCTATGGAGAAAAGAAAAAAAAAAAAAATCAGATAATTGTCAATTCTAGAAATTAAATAAATCTTTTTGTACCAGATATCCCCTATTTAAATACGCAGTTGATGTGCACTTGGAAGATCGGAAGCACTCTTGTAAGTGTACCTTTGGAAGGGTTGGAAGCATAATTCTCTAATAAATTCATTTGGGTTGGAAGCTTCCAATCAAAATTTATACTATTGGGAACATAAAATGCACATCACTGACCATATGGAAGGGTGGTCATTCATATGTTATACAATGTTTTTATCCAAAATACAGGGTCAAATAAAAACGATATTAAACTTACCAAAAGATTGGAATTATTCTGTTTCGGATCAGCTTTTCTCCCGCAGCAGGAAATCATATAGAGCTTGAATTTGTCTATGAATTAAATAACTCTTCATTGGGCAACCCACTGTCGTGTTAATCCAACTTCAAGTAATGTTAATTTCCAATAACTTTGTTATAAAGAAATATGGTATGGTAAAAACAAACGAGACACAAATAAAAACAGGACTTTAATTAAATAAAAACATCATTCTTGTTCAATTTGCGTTTACCTTTGATTCCATGTTTAACTCTCTCTCGTGTTTACCTTTGACGTTCATTTTCCTTTGGCAAAAGACAGTTATTTTGGCATCAAAAGAAAGCTTAAAATAATTTAATCCTTTGGAAAAATGAGAAATCACATTGTATTATGTATGCAATTAAGAAGCTTCTTAATTCTCATCACCTATAATTTAAGATAGAATAACCTGAATAATTCATCCAAAATTTTAAATATTATTTTCCACGCGAACATATTGAATCAAGGTAGATTCATCAATCAATCCGTTTTTTTTTTTTTTTTTTGAAATGTTGATAAAAAGTACATTATAAAATATTTGGGATGAGCACAAAACATTGGTCAACTTAAAAATAAATTTAAAATTCATTTATTATTATTATTTTTTTTTTTTTTTTCTATTTCAGACCACGGGCTGTTCCGTAATAAAATGGGTTAAACCAACTCCATTGTTTGTTTATTATTTAAATAAGAAAAAAAAAAATATAAATTAAAAATAAAGTCGAATTCAATTTTTAGAATTTTCAACCTATAAATATTTCATTTCAACCTAAAATAAAACAAAAATGGCAAGTTGATTTTTAAAAAAAAAAAAGGGAGCGAGATTTTTTGAAGCGTATGTCAAAAAAAAAAGGGGGGGACTTCTTGATAATCTCAACCACAACATAAAGACAAGAAAAATGAAAAAAGGAAAAAAAATTTTATTAAAATTTTTTTATAAACTCTGTTCATTTTATCTTTCCATTAACAATAACAAAGAAATGACTCTTTTTTATTCCGATTACCTTATTTTAGAAATCTTATTGTTGCGCTTTCAGTAGAAAATTGATTTTACTGAACTAAAAAAGAATTATTTATAAATATTTCAATTTTTAAGGATTTCCAATCTAAAAATATTTTTTTATTTTCGTCTTAAAAAAATTAAGGGAAAAAAAAAAAAATTTTTTTTTTTTTTTGAAATTTGATTTCGATTTATAAAAAACTGTAGATTTATAAATAATTTTAAGTAAATTATCTTATGCAAAATTTTCAAATCAAATTTCCTTAAAAAGAAATCAACAACTGCTGCAATAATTTAAAATCATCATTATGAAATAATTAAAAATAAACAATTAATTAATTTGGTTCAACAATTGGTTTTTGGGGACACGATCTTCGGAAATTTGGTTATTCGGAGTAATTAAAATTTAGATGTAAAAAATAAAAAATAAAATTAATAATTAAATAAAAAAAAAAAAATTAAAAGAATAGAACGCGAAATTTTCAAAAATAAAATAATCTATAATAAAATTAATGTTTAAAAAAAGATTTTCTCGAGTTTCACAAGAGATCTTTTTTTTACCCCTTTTTTATTTATTTTTCATCTATCGTTTCGAACGAACGTTTAAGAGTGTTTCACCAAAACAAAGTTTAAAAATATTTACAAGATCTTTCGGCAAACAGATTTGTTTTATTTCCGAAAGAAAAATTTCAAGTGAACACGTTAAAGAAAACAACAAACATCAAGAAAAGAATGTGGCGATTCCCGTGTTTATTTTAAGCACAGCCTTAGAAAAACTTCCGATACAAATTATTAACCATAAAAAGGAACTTCAAAATAAAAATGATAACCCGTTCTGATTTGTTAAACACAAGGTTCTGTGTAAAGGAGGCTAAAATACACATGAAACTTGGATTTCCCGGAATTTTTTTGATCGCGAGATTTATCTCCTCTGATTTAAAAATAAATAGACGAATAAGCCATATTAAATCAAATAATCATATATGTATAAGCCCATGACCAAAGGAAAAAACGGATAATATCAAATGAAAGATCGTTCAATGTGGTGGTGCAATTGTGAAACTCCAATATACCACATGCAGCATTACATTTAATTTGGTTAATTTGGGAACTTTTGAATCATTTTCTTCAAAAAAAAAGATTGACCATACATTATTATTCGTCAACGCACATTCTTTTAACAAATGCAAAAAAAAAAAAAATTGACGTGAAGGTTTTTTTGATTCGTATTACTAGTATTACATGTAGCACACGCAAGCATCACAAGGGTGATATCTCCGACTTGTTGAGGATTGGCACTATATATAAATTT